ACAACGCGCCACTCACTGCGAAAGACAGTTCGCATGCGCGCGACCTTAAACGAAAGAAGACCAGCGCGTTCGCAACGAACCACTAGTCACGAGCGCGCGAGATGCACCCGAGGCCAACCACCACTGCTTAGCACTCGCAGCGAGACACCGTACGCGCCCGCGCGAGTTGGCACCCGTCCACCACATGCATAGCACTCACTGCAAACCCGAGTTCGTGACCTGACAAACGCGACCCTGCCAGTCCAACCCATGCCACACTCGTTGCGAAACCGGTTTCGAGACCCGACGAGTTCAAATTTCATTAAATGTGTGTGTAGCTAGTGTGTGTTTTAGCGTCTTAGTATAAATATGTTTCTTCCATTTGTAATTAAGAAGCTAGACTTCATTTTTTCACTTTTTTCCCTTTTGGGAAAGGTTCTCCTATTTTATTTTTCTCTTTATGACTTGAATTTTCCGACGACTTCCCGGTGAGTTTATTTTTATACAAGTTTCAAGTTTTTCACTCCGGTTTTCTTCGGGCTCGCAATAGGATAGTGGATACTTACTTTTAAGTCTCATTACTCCGTAATTGTTCCGTTTTTACTTATGGCTGTTTTTGAAGTAAATGTGGTGTGTTGCTTGTTGAATGGGGGAAAGGTTTGAGCTTTTTATTTTCATTGTTTGCCTAGGTGATTATAGAGATTAAATATTGGCTTATCTTGTTATGAAGGTTGAGACTTTGATTAAAGCTCAATGATTTAGTTTTAGAAAGGTTGTGTTAATTGCCTAGAAACTTGGTGCTTGCATATTTCTCTTCCATTGTGTGCATTTTTCTCGAGTTATAGAGACTCTGGTAAACCGAAATTGCTGCCTTTCTCTCTCAAAAGTTGCTTCTTTAATTCAATGCTCTCAATTCTTAGTTTTAATTCAACCTCAACCATCTTGATTAGAATGTTTAGGAATTTTGCTATTTTTGTGCTTTGGACAATTAACTAGAACGGAGCTCCGAATCGTCTTCCTTGAGAAACAACCCGAGTCGGATAGCTCGGTCATCAACAATCCCACTTAAACAACTCAACAAATGGCGCCGTTGATGGGGAAGACAAGTAGGACGCCTAGTTTGCTATTTAGTTGTCCCTTTTTCATGTGTTTCTCTTGTTTTGTGTTATTTGATTAATTTTCGTGTTTCACTTGTTTTCTCTTGCTTTGTTAGCTAGTTTGTGTTTGTTTGTTGCATTTGAATCTTGTTTTCCATTGGTACGTTCATGGGTATAGTGTATTGTTTTTGTTTATGCGAGGAAGACGAGGACGTGGAACCAGAGAGGAGACTCCACCCATCGATCTATACGTAGAGCTTAACATAGACGAGCCACAACCTGAAGTGGAACCAATGGCGGACCAAGGGGAACAATTGCCACCACCACCGCCCCCGAACATGAGGTACTTTGCTCAACCAATTATCGATGACAACACCTCATGCCTCGTGCTCGGAGAGGCAGCCCGGAATTACGATTTGAAGACCATCCATCTCAATCAATTACCCTCCTTCTACCGCTTACCTCAAGAGGATGTCTTGAAATTTATCCGAGAATTCTAGTCGACAGTGAACACCTTCCCTCTACAAGGCCTTGCCGAGAATTAACTCCGGGTGCGTTGTTTTCCTTACACTTTGAAGGATTGAGCTAAGACGTGGTTCATGACGCTACTCCCAAACTCGCTTAACAATTGGGAAGCGGTCTACGAGAAATTCATGGGGAAGTACTACTCTCATCAAAAGACGATGGATCTTCGTGCTCAAATGGCGAGTTTTAGTCAAAGAGGCGTGGAACGGTTCAAAGGCTATCAACTCCAATGCCCACATCATCACTTTTGCCTCGGTGTCTTGAACCAATTCTTCTATGACGGGCATCATCAAATTCTCCAATACATGGTTGACCACGCGGCCGGAGGAGATATAAGGAGTCATACGGAGGAGGAGATCTTTGACTTGTATGAGATGTTGAGCGAAAATTCTCAAAGGAAGAATGTCCAGAAGCGAGTACTTATAATATACATCATTATAAATCAGTTGGTGTGGAACTGTCATATAAATTATTATATTTGTAAAAAATTTAAAATACTTATAATATACATCATTATCTATATATCTATAAAAAGATTTACTATTTACCATCAATAGTAAGAAGAAAAAGTCAACACATATTATTTACATACTATTTTCAGCTATTTTTTATTTTATGTTTTAATTCACTTCCTAAAAGATCGGTTGGCCTTAAATCGGTTTTTTTTAGCTATTTTTTATTTCATGTTTTAATTCACTTCCCAAAAAATCGGTTATTGTGTATCTAAATTACAGGCACGCATAATATATGAGTTTTTAGATTAAAACATAATCTACTTTAGATTATATATCATATCTTACTTTATATAATTAAATATTAAAAATGGGTCATATTATAAAATCAGGCATAAACTTTATGTTTTCTCCTTTTTTATTCAAAAAAACTAATTGAAAAGAAAATCGAATGCAATTGTAACAACAAATTTCGTGTATTGAATTAATAAACACGAAAAATATTATTCAAATAAATTTCTCGAATCAAAAGAAATATAATGGGTTACAATCTCTAATTTCTCCTTTGATTCTTCTCACGAATAATTTTAAGTCTTGGAGCGAAATCTTCGGCTTGATCTTCTCCTTGACTTGATTTGACGTGAATTAACGTTAATCCGAGGGCCAACGCCTTGATTTCGGATCAAACGTCGAAATATTCCAAGAACGCAAAGAACACGATTCCTTGGTCTTCGTCGCAAAGTAGATCTTGAATCTTCTTCACGCCGGTTTTGAATTAACGAACGTTATTCGGAGGCTTTGCAGCTTGTTTCCGGATTGAACGCCAGTCTTGAGGTTGAACGCGCTTGAAACTTGCTTCGAATCTTCAAGAACGCCTTTAAATCTTCAAGAACACTTGAAAATCTCGTCGAGAGAATTTTCTAGAGCTCTTGAATTTGAATATGAATTATGAGGTGTGTTTTTTGCTTTATGGAGTTCCCCTATTTATAGGTGTAGGAGGGAGGGCCCTACCAAATTTAAAAATCGTAGGACACGATTTGATTGGTCCATGATGATTCACATAAGATCTTTTAGATCTACTTAGATCTCCCAAGATCTTCTAGAAGACATATGATTTCTTACCAAGAATTAAGATTTGACACTTGGCATTATTTGATTGGTCAAGAATTAAAATATTAAAATATCAATTAATCAACTATTTAAAATTCGGAATTAAAATTATGGAAATTCCTAAAATATAAATAGAAAATATGACTTGATTTTTAATAAATTAATTTCCACGTGGTACCATTTAATTGGACACAATTTTTATGTCTCTACAACAATATTTAATTGATAATTTAAAATTCTAAATTCCTTGCCACTCGATTGCCATAAAATCGAATAATAAATAATCGCATATAATAGATGTAAAATGTGGCTCATCTACAACTTGAATTGGAAAAAATCAAATCACATATATTTATATAATTGAACAACCTAAAATTAAGGAATTTTTTTCAAATTCCGACAGATCTTGAATTCAATATCAAATCAACTTCATAATATCACATAGTTCGGACTCTTTAGAAGTATTCCAAAAATTCAGATATCTCCAAATTTTGATTTCAAATTTTAAATAACTGTTTACTATTATCTTGAAAATAGATAGAATATCCTTTTTTATAAGGAGTCTTTCAAAATAAGAACTTGATTTGCTTCATTCTCTTTATCATAATTAATGAATTTTTCATGCTATTTTTTTTTTTAATAGATACAAGATGAATTTGCTCATCTCGGACTCTATTGCAAATGCCACTATTGTTCTTTGGGACAAAAAATCAGAGATCATAATTGAAAAATCATGCCATCTTTTTATGACAACATGTTTAATAATTTATAGATACTTATATATCATTTTATTAATATTTATGTAAATAAAATAATATTTTATTATAATTTTATTAATATACAGTGAATATAAGGTTTTTAGAATCGGACCCTCATCAAAACAATCAAAGTTATTTTATTATATCATTTGTGGTTTGTTTAGATTTTAATTTATAAATATTTTAATATTTTATAATTACTTAAATATCTAAAAAATTTATAAATTCAAATGTTTAAACTAATTGATAAAAAGTTTATAAATCTCTATTTTATTTAAATATGTAATTTTATTTAAAATAATTTTAAATGTAGCAAAATCTATTTAGAAAATCGTATCGATCCTACCAGTCCAACCGATCGGTGTAGAAGGATTCGATAGCAAATATTTTATTCAAGCGAACTAGGCTGGTTATAAACCGGTTCCCGGTCTATCCGGTCGGACTGTGTCCAACCCGGTTTAATTTAAAAATAATAGGTAAATCATGATTAATGTTTCTTATATATTTAATTTATAATACAATTGTAATGTTGTTGGTCCGTGCATCGCACAGGCTACGCACTAGTATATTATAAAAAGCAAAATAAAATAATATTGATGTAATTAAAAATAAATTTTAACTTCAAAATCATATATATTACAGTCTTTTTTAATTAATTGTTGGTTATAATATTTTGTACAATTTTTTAATTTTAGTATAACTTATTTTGAAATTTAAATATTGTAATAACATATGAGTAAGGAAATACATAGAAAAGTATTTTGTGTATTTATAATAAATGTTTGAATATGTTAGATTGTCATTATTTTAATCCTAAATAGGAACTCTGAAATGATAGTTGTTCTATAACGGTTGAGATAGTAATTAATAAATGTTAAATTATTAATCTATCAAAAAAAAGTTAGATATATTAATATTTAAAATTATTTATATATTAATTAATATTATTTCATAATTTTGATATATGCAATTTATAATTATTGTCCGTGCTAATAGTCCTCAGTGAAACGCAATGAGTTTTTATTTTACAAATAACTGTTTAATCAATTTATCTCTCGAACTTAAATTTTAACCATCATTTCGATTTTCGGCCTTCAGGTGTAAAGAAAAAAGAAGCTGACATCAGCCTGACTACGGATAAGAGACCTAGAGAGAGAAGAAGAAGAAGCTGAAGGAATGGTGGCCGGAAGTTCGATACAACCGCGCTTAATGTCCACTTTCCTTACCGACGGCCGATTGATCCAATCGAAATCTACTCGTTCACTTCAGCACATCTTCAAGTTCAACCCAGGTTTCTCAACTTCCGCTGACAATTAATTTCAACTCGTAACAGCTTGATTTCGAATTCTCGTATGTATTTAATTTCTCTTGTCTATTTCATTTTGCTCTATTTTTATACTTTGGTGTTGAAATTCTGTTCAACCTCAAGTCACCGCAGTCGTTGTCCAATCGAATTGAGGGAGGTGATTGAGTTGGTAGCTCAATTTTTATTTTATTTTGTGTTTGTTGTTGTTATTGATGACCTAATCATTATATTTGTGTATGTAAAGCCCAGATGCTGCCTGGTTTTTTTTAGCTGAATTTTAAAAATCTGAATTGCCGAGATGAGTAAATGTGTTTATCTGTTACGATCAATTATTTGCTTAAGAAAATGAATAACATTTGGCAAAGCATGCGTGTCATGAGTTGCGTCCACTTAAAGTCTCAAAAGATAATCATTCCATAGTTGTATATGTGCACTGTGTGAGAATTGAGATCATAAAATGGCTTTCTTGTTTGAAAATTGATAATTTCAATAATTTGTATGTGAAAAATTGGCTTCAATTGTAGGGGATATTATGCTCGGAAGCTGATTCTTTGGTATTTGATTTCTCGCTTTTTTAACAGGAAAAGGCCATGTGTCTATGCAAATGTCAAGGACATTTTCCGAATTGGCCAATTTATTATTTAACAGAAGGCATGTTTTCCATTCCACGTAGTTTGGAGTTTCTTTATGTTGACTTGATACCTTTATATAGAAGTTGGATAAAGAGGTGTATATTTTTGCTACGTCCTAGTCTAGATATATGCTCCCTGAACATGGCATTGGAAAATATAATTTAGAAAGAAATGAATAAGAAACATCTACATGTCAAGCCACAAACCAAAAATATATTCCTTGCTGAGTTAGAACCCCAATGTAAAAGGAGACGAATCCTGTTATGATTATTTTGTTACTCCAGAAAATGCATACTTTTCTCATTGTATACTCATCAGCAGTTTCAGATCATACACTTTGAGGTTTCATATTGGGTTCATTGGCTAACTTGAAAAATGTCAGCCAAATAGACAGATGTAATGAAATCAATTCCTTAATTAATGACATGATATTGCTAAACAAGGTTTACAAACTATTTAGGTGAAACTCCTCTGACCTGGGTTAAAAATCCTACTCCCACATGTAACAAATGTTTTTTCTTTTATCTCTTGGCAGAAATACAGTAGAATCTGCAGATGGCAAACATAAGCGTTTAAAGCCCGGGAAAGTATCACCTCGTCGGCTAGTTCCCAGCCACATACAAAAACCTTCATATGTTGATTCTGAGATACCACCTGGAGTCGGGAGTAAGCCTGAAATACATGACGAGAAGGGGATAGAGTGCATGAGAGCATCAGGAAAGCTTGCTGCCCAAGTTCTTCAGCATGCTGGGACTCTGGTGAAGGTGACTTCCAGATCCTTCTGCTCATTTTTATGTATTTAAATGAGTTTTCATCGGCCTTCACAAGCTTTTTCTGCCGAGGGTAAATCAAATGATCTCAGAAGAATCAGGCCTGCCCCAATGCCATTTGGTGCATTCGCCGTTGTCAACTTTCAGTATTTCATTAGTATTACTACTTCAAGTATTAGTTTTTTCACGGACACAATTATTCAAGTTTTTCTCATTAACAATTTAATTATGGTTTATGGCAGCCAGGTATCACAACCGATGAAATTGATCAAGCAGTTCATCAAATGATTATCGACAATGGAGCATATCCATCTCCACTTGGTTATGGTGGCTTTCCAAAGAGCGTTTGCACATCAGTGAACGAGTGCATTTGCCATGGAATCCCGGATTCACGTGTCCTGGAGGTTTGTCATACTGAACCATAATTGACCCCTTCAAGATCCTAGGTATTTCGTAATCTTAAAAATCACTGTGTTTGTTTGCGTTGCAGGATGGCGACATTATAAATATCGACGTTACAGTTTATCTTAACGTAAGTAAATCAGCTTGTACTCCAAATATCTGCTTTTGTGGTGACATTCAATGTTATAGTTTTGTTTCCAGTTAAATGGAGAGCAAAGTTGGCTCGAAAGAAAAATTACAACTTTGTTTACATTTTAAATATTGCTTTTGAGACTTTGAGTTGAAGTTGATAATCATTTGATGTTGTCAGATGGAAATAAGTTAATACTGGATGAAATAAAATTAGCCTTTTCCTCAGAGAAAGACGATCAAACAAATCCCTATCACGGTTCTTGATCGGATTGTCCATATATAGATAGAAACTCTCTTAAATTCTCACACAGCTTTCTGTAGGGAGAAGCTCTGATCCTAATATTATATATCTCAATAAATATTAATGATTATTGAACCGATACTGTACTATATGAGTCATGTATCTTGCTGTTATACATCCACATAAGGCCACAGAGTGCGTCATTGAAAACTTAAAAAAAATGTTACTACGACCCTGATGAATATAGGTCCTTTATTAGTCTCAGGCTGTTTAACTATCTCCAAATGTCATGAGTGATGAATGAATATTACAGTCTGATTCTTGGACATGGAATTATTTCTTGCAACAACAACAACATACCCAGTATATTCCCAACAGGTTGGGGTATGGGGGGTTAGTTGTACGCAGACCTTACCCTTGTAATTATACAAAGAGGCTGTTTCCGTAGCAACCCAAGGTGCATTGCGCCGTTTGATATATTTTTTTTTTTCTAGAAACTTCACTAATAGAAGAAGCACTAGAATTTAATTGAGACATTTTGATCTAGTCCATTATTAGCATTATGCCAGGAGAATTGTCGACAATGACTCTTCCAGCTCCATTTGCAATGGACATACGTGGAATTATTTCTTGGAAGTTAAAATTTTGTCTTTCTGTCAATTGTCATATCAGATTAACTGCTTGCATAAGGATTTGAATGATGTCCTGATAGGCTTTTGTGAACAACTGATATACCGTGTTTATTAGATTTTTTGTATTTTCAAGGTGGTTAATATATGCATTTACACACTCAACCAAATCTAATGCAGGGTTATCATGGTGATACATCAGCCACGTATTTTGTTGGAGAGGTTGATGAAGAGGCCAAAAACTTAGTGAAGGTGTTGTTTCTTAGTAGTCCCATTTTTACAGTTATCTTGTTTGATTATTCTTTTATATTTCAATTGATTGTCTCTACTCTCTAGTCTTTATAAAACTCAAAAGCCTTTCCTATTCACGGAATCAGATAATTTTTTCAACAAATTAAAATTATAACTGTACCTGATGTTTGAACACTGGATATATTCTCTCACAATTATATGTCGTTTCTTTTAGGTAACCAAAGAATGTCTGGAAAAGGCAATATCTATTTGTGCACCTGGAGTTCAATATAAACGAATCGGGATGGAAATACAGTGAGACACCTGCCAATTCTCTTTCTTCATATGTTGCACTTTTAAGCAATCGCTTCCTGTTCGCTGTCTTCACTATGTTGTAATACAATATATTGCTTGCTATTCTACTCCATGAGTATATTAATCCCTCACTGAGCTAGTCACAGAAATCGTCTTAATTAACAGCTTGTTAATAGGAATGTTAATAGGGTATATGTATATTTGGAGGTTGCTCATCTTTTCTGTGGAAAAGAAGAAAGATAACCTTGGCGGCAATCTTGAAATTTTTAATTAACATTAATATTAATTAAATTCAGGTACCAGATTGTACTCATACGCTACTACCATACAGTTCGTTCATTCTACTTTGCTTTGGTTGTTTAAATCATCTTTGCTAATCTGAATTATTTAGGGCAGAAATTTCAATCGACATGCCCTTTTTGTATGTATTATGATCCTAGAGTAGAACATTTGGAATTTTTACTCTTTGCATTGATTTTCCTTAAAGGGACCTTGCTGATAAACACAAATATGGAGTCGTGGAGCAATTTGTTGGCCATGGAGTCGGAAAAATGTTCCACAGTGATCCTATGATTCTTCATTACAGTAATTCTCCTGTCTATTTAAATTCCTCTTGGAATTTCAACTTCTTAATTTACTTTCAGATGCTGCATATCACTGTCTAACCCTTTTTTGGGATTTCTAGGGAATAATGGTCGTGGGCGAATGTTGCTGAACCAAACTTTCACCATCGGTTAGTTTCCATAACTATCCATTGTTTTTTCGATATTCAATTCTCTGCAAGTAGTATGCATGTAACTATTTATTTTTTTTTAACCATAAAATCAGCCGAATCATTGTCCACAATTTCCTTCGATCACGAGCATTTTAATCCTTGTGTTTTTTCCAGAACCAATGCTGACAATGGGCAGCATAAAGGGAGTTATGTGGGACGACAATTGGACAGTGGTAACTCGGGATGGGAGCCTTTCGGCTCAATTCGAACACACCATCTTGATCACAAAGGACGGTGCCGAGATTCTTACACAGTGTTGAAAAACGCTCGTGGGACCCACGCGATGTTTCAGACATCAGCACTACATTTCATGATTTTTATCCAGCTACATCAGGTTTTTGGAAAATTAAAGCTTGATATGTTGTGTACATTGTTATGGTCCTCATGGAGCACAGGCCGAATGTGAATTGAATTTGTTCGAACTTGGAATTTATTAATCTACCAAGAAAAACACATGCCTAATTCTAATTTTAGAGGCAAAAATAAAAAATAAAAAAATAAAAAAAATGCTACTTTGACTATATTGCTTTTCGGCTTTTCCAACCTACAATATTATTCCTGATAAAATATAATCTGAATTTCTTGAATATTCATAATTTGCAACTTATTTGTCATCTTGACGATACACTTTTGTGGTTTTGCAGATGCTCTAAGGTCAAAATTCATATGAATGTTTGTTAAGTTGAAGTTGTATTTACTTAAAAAATTACTTTAGGTTGTAAAGGCGAAGTTTAAAATTATTGATGAAATTCGAGTTTGCATTTGATGGAAAAATAAAATAATTTAAGTTAAAAAAAGTAAGATTGTAGATTATAAATGTGGATGAAGGAAAAGAAAAAACTTTCAAAATCTATAGTTAGGTTTATAATAATATACAACGTGATAGAAAAATAAACAAAATGATAAATAGGAAAAGAAAAGGAGAAAGGAAAACATCAGTTTTGCTACTGATCCAACCTGTTATGCATGACAAATTTCAAATATGATAATACCAGGCAAAATTCTACATAATTTTAAGTAATACTAGAAACTTTTTGTAGTATTAATTCTTTCCAAATCTAAATATACTAGTGCGTGGCCCGTGCGATGTACGGGAAAACAACATTATAATTGTATTATAAATTAAAGGTAAAATTGCATATAAAAGCACCACCTTTCATGTTTTTGCATTTTAATCACGACCTTCGCATATTAGCACTTAAGTACATATCATCCCTTTGCAAGTCGAAGCACGCCTTTCATCTCCGGCACCAATAAAATGACGTGGCTTGCCGGAATACACATGTGGAATTTAAAAAAAATGAGAAACATGCAAATTCATTTTGCCCAGTCATTTTTTGACACGTCGATTGCACCAAAAAATTAAAAAACTAAAATTGAAATCCACGTCGCGTTGCAGAATGATAAAAATCCCCAAATCGAAGAAGAATGAAACTTAAAAAAATCCTCTGTAAAGGCAATCTCTTAACACAACGATGATACCTCCAAGCTGGATTTTTATCCGTGTTCGAGGTTTGCATTTTCGCTTCCAAATTATGTAAACACATAAGAGGCTGAGGAGTTGTGGTTCGACTGCTAGATCCACTCGACATTTTCAAGAAAAATTGGGGATTTTGAAAACACAATTAGGGTTCGTATGGGAAGAGGAATTGGAATTTTGGGGTGCTAATTATTTAGGGTCATGGAGAAAGTTTACAGAAGTTGAAGAGCATATGATTCATAGAAATTTTGTAATTTTCATAGAAATTTCGCCATCTTCACAGAAATTGAAGATCAAAATTAGGGTTCGATTAATAATCGATTTGGGGGAGGGAAGGCGACGTGGATTTTGTGTTTTTTAATTTTTTTTTTAGTCCATGTGTTATTATGAGAATGAGCGACATGGAATTCATTTTTTTTTTCTTTTTTTGAACATTCCACATGTGTATTTCGACGAGACACGTCAGCTCTATTGGTGCCCGAGGTAGAAGGCATGATTCAATTTGCAAAGAAGCAAAAGGTCATGTAGGTCGTGAGTAAAATGCAAAAGCGTTAAAGGTAGTGCTTTTATATGCAATTTTGCCTTAATTAAATATATAAGTAACATTAATCATGATTTACCTATTATTTTTAAATTAAACCGGGTTGGACACAGTCCGACCGGATGGACCGGGAACCGGTTTATAACCAGTCTAGTTCGCTTGAGTAAAATATTTGCTATCGAATCCTTCAACACCGATCGGTTGGACTGGTAGGATCGATACGATTTTCTAAATAGATTTTGCTACATTTAAAATTATTTTAAATAAAATTACATATTTAAATAAAATAGAGATTTATAAACTTTTAACAATTAGTTTAAACATTTGAATTTATAAATTGTTTAGATATTTAAGTAATTATAAAATATTAAAATATTTATAAATTAAAATCTAAACAAACCACAAATGATATAATAAAATAACTTTGATTGTTTTGATGAGGGTCCGATTCTAAAAACCTTATATTTACCGTACATTAATAAAATTATAATAAAATATTATTTTATTTACATAAATATTAATAAAATAATATATAAGTATCTATAAATTATTAAACATGTTGTCATAAAAGGATGACATGATTTTCCAACTATGATCTCTGATTCTTTGTCCCAAAGAACAATAGTGGCATTTGCAATAGAGTCCGAGATGAGCAAATTCATCTTGTATCTATGAAAAAAAAATAACATGAAAAATTCATCAATTATGACAAAGAGAATGAAGTAAATCAAATTCTTCTTTAGAAAGACTCCTTATAAAAAAGGATATTCTATCTATTTTCAAGATAATAGTAAATTTGAAATATGAAATCAAAATTTGGAGATATCTGAATTTTTGAATTACTTCAAAAGAGTCCGAACTATGTGAAATTATGAAGTTGCTTTGATATTAAATTCAAGATCTGCCGGAATTTGAAAAAAAATTCCTTAATTTTAGGTTGTTCAATTATATAAATATATGTGATTTGATTTTTTCTAATTCAAATTGTAGATGAGCCACATTTTACATCTATATATGCGATTATTTATTATTCGATTTTATGGCAGTGGCAAAGAATTTAGAATTTTAAATTATCAATTAAATATTACATTCGATTTTCTTTGCAATTAGTTTTTTTAATAAAAAAGGAGAAGTCATAAAGTTTATGTCTGATTTTATAATATGACCCATTTTTAATATTTAATTATATAAAGTAAGATATGATATTATAATCTAAAGTAGATTATGTTCTGATCTAAAAACTCATATATTATCCGTGCCTGTAAATTAGATACACAATAACCGATTTTTGGGAAGTGAATTAAAACATGAAATAAAAAATAGCTAAAAAATAACCGATTTACGTCCAACCGATTTTTTGGGAAGTGAATTAAAACATAAAATAAAAAATAGCTGAAAATAGTATGTAATTAATATGTGTTAACATTTTCTTTTTACTATTTATGGCAAATAGTAAATCTTTATATATATATATATATAAATAGATAAAAATAATTATATGTCCTTTCCATTGCATGTAGTTTCGTTATAATAGCTGTTAATTGTAGTTTTTAGCTAATTAGAGAATATAATACTAGTTTTTATTTGCCGGGAACCAACTTGCCTCCATAGCAAAATTTGGGGAAAACATATCATAGGAGAGCGTGGGTTAATATCGGAATTCGGAACCACACGCAGCCGACGTGGCATCACGTGCAGCCTTCCATTTCCATATTCAATCATCATCAACGGCCATAACCCCTTTTCTGCTTTTACACAAATCACCCAAAACCAAATTCCATCCATTTTATCCATATGTCAAATACTACATACTTCTTTTCCAATTATAAAGTTTAAACCAAAGTATAATTATTTACCTATTTAATCACGAAATAATCAGGCTCCTCGGACTAAAATCCCGTGGATATTTAATTATTTATTTAGAAGAAAAGAAAAAAATAGGAGAATATAAAAGCCGTTCTGATGAAAAAAGGCGAAAAACCTCTTGTTACTAGATTCTAGACGCAGATGGACCCGTCGCCAGTGAATTGGGAAGCTTTGGACGCCCTCGTCGTCGATTTCGCCAAGGCGGAGCGATTGATCGACGATTCGCCGCCGCCGTCGTCTTCCTCGTATCAGTGGCGCCGCCTGATATCTCAGATCAGGCGCTCCCTGGAGTCCGGCGACATTGACTCCGCCATCGACCTGCTCCGGGCCAACGCCCCGGCCTTACTCGACGATCACCGCCTCCTGTTTCGTCTACAGAAGCAGGTATGCATTTTTCGTGGAATCTTTTAGACCATTGGTTTTTTAACATTTTGTTGGTTAATCCGAGCTTTTAATGACTGTAAGCGGCTGCTTTTGCAGAAATTTATTGAGCTGCTGAGGAAAGGGACCGTGGAGGATCGTGATTCTGCCATCAAGTGTGTGCGCACGTCTCTCGCGCCGTGTGCGCTGGATGCTTACCCGGTTAGATTTCTTATTAATTTATTTTTTGTTTGCTAGGGTTCCTGTTTGATTTTGTGCATACATATGGTGAATCATCAGCATACAATTCGGGAGAATTAATGAGAATCACATGCTATGAACTCGAGTTTTTAGAGTTCCCTTGGAGTTTTGTAGTGGTTTAATATCTATGTTGCTCATCCTTATGAATTCAGTCAATGAGTGCTTTTGTGCTCTCGTTTGCTACTGATAAATGCTTGTTCTTGATTGAAGGAAGCGTACGAGGAATTTAAGCATGTTCTTCTTGCCCTCATTTATGACAAAGATGATCCAACATCTCCAGTGGTAAATGAGGTAATAGTGATTCGTTTTTGTTTTGATGATGTCTTACAGCTTTGTTTAATGCATTATTCCCGCTCTTGTTGGTGTCTTCAGTGTGAATGGATCATAAAATTTCTGCTATTATGTTCTCAAAGATAAACTGTTGGTGTCTTCGGTGTGAATGGATCATAAAATTTCTGATTATTGTCATTTTAATCCTTGCCCTAATCAGTTGGAGGAAAACTTAATGGTTCTTTTTCTATTGATTTGTTTTTTAAATGATTCAATTTATGAGAAGATTCTATAGCATCCAGAGATTGTTCAATAATAATTTTTTATATTATCATCTTTTTGGGATATACTTAATTAAATATCTGACGTGAATATCTAAATTTACATTTTACATAAATCTGTGTTAGTATTGACTTGACAGCGACACATTCACATTTAGAGAAGGCAAGGTTCCTACTTATGTACTTCCTGTAAACCTCAGATATTGGTCATTTCAGATTTACACTGTTATCATTTGCCCTAGGAATGCTTAGAAGTTAGAACTATATATATAGCTGCAAGAATTATAGAGTAACATTTCTCTGTTGAAGGTTAAAATGTCATCAGGGTTGAGATTGGCAGTATTAGTATGTTATATTATTATGCCATAATAGAGATTTCTCATTTTTTGGGGGAATATTTAATGGGACATTCATCATCATCGTATGTCTCTCTCTTAATGAGCGATACAGGATATGTTTGATTTTCTTGAAAAATCGTATTTTACTGTCTGCCTTTGTTTCAGTGGTCCGAGCGGAAGAGGTTTGAGATTGCAGGGCTGCTTTCTTCTGTTTTACGAGCTCATTTCCTTGCATATGATCCTATGTTTTCAATGACATTGAGATACTTAATAAGGTAGGTCTCACTTATATGTTCACCAATCTGTACTGATGACTGGGCTGTAATAAATTTTATTGATTGAAATAAAAACTTGGGCACCAGTGCACTTGCAGGAAGTAGTGTCAGATTTGTACTTAATTCATTCTTTATTTTCAGTTCATCTATGTTTTCTTGATTGTTGCTTGCATTATGCAGCATACACAAGGGGTTTTGCCTTCATCAGGGAGTCTCTTCACCCATAAGCGATCTTACTGAAAGATTGCTCCTCGAGGAGCGTGACCCCCCTGCAACAGCACAAGAGAGTTTGTTGGAAGCACCTCCATTTGATGAGGTGAGATATTTGAAAGGGGCGTTCTTTTTTGTTCTTCACCACTCTGAATGAGATTCAGATATTAGGCCCATAAGCAGCCTATTACGTTGAATTTCCTTTTTTTAATGAATCATTGGCATTCTTGTTCTTGAACTTGTTGATTGCTTATCGACCAGGTGGACATACAAGCACTTGCTCATGCAGTGGAGCTGACTAGACAAGGGGCTGTAGATAGCTTGAGGTTTGCGAAGGGTGATTTGCACCAGGCATTTCAGGTAAAAGTGATGTAACTCTTTGTTTGTGTGAGCGTGCACGTGTGCCCGAGATGTGTTCACTGCGAATTCTTTCACTTGCATTTTCATTGTAAGCACTTAGTATGATCAATGAAGCACCGTGGGAAGAAGCCATAGTGCTAGAAGTTGGTGGTACTGTTAGCATCCAGCTTTCTCACATTCTTCCCACAGTTTGTTGTCCTATCTTTGCATGGTAATGAAACATTTTAATCCATATTCTGTGTCTAGTAGCTCTGGTTATTAAATCTCTCTTTTTTTTTTGTTTTCCTTTACAGAATGAATTATGCCGTATGAGATTAGACATTTCTCTGCTTGATGAGCTTGTTCACGAGTATTGCATTTATAGAGGTATTGTGGACTGTCGCCATGTAAATTCATGCGAAGGTTCGCTCCTTTCAGTTTCCTTTTTAAGATTTGGAATTTCTGCATTTCTTTCTTCTTTTTCTTAATTGTTTTCTGTTTCTTACATTTTGTTTATGAATTATTCAATGACAGGATCACTTGTTACATCAGGAACTGAAAACACTGGTCGTTTGGACCCACTCAGTAGCTTATCTGAGAATTTTCCGATTGGTACTGACACTGATATGTCAACACCAACAGATAATGTCCATGCAGATAGTTCTCAAAGTAAAATGGAAGTTCTAACCACACAACATGTTGACATGGAAGTGCGGTACCCTTGTGAGACAACCAGTTTGAAAGAAGATTGTAGCACCAGTAGAACTCATCAGCCTGAGGACAGCAAAGTCGTGCTAGGAAACAGATGTCGTGTAGCTGGGGAGAGAGGCAAACGTAAAAGATGGAGGGGTAGAGATGAGGATCTAGAATTTGGTTCTGAGGGTCTCAGTGAGAGTTGCAAACATGAGCTTTGTACTAATGTACCAGGCACCACAAGCTTTGTAAGTGAATCCTCTTTTAGGTGCTACTTTTCAATAAATTCTATTGAGCTTTTCATTGATNGACAGGATTTTAAGAAGTCGTCCCCGATCCACGCTGTGAGCAGCAATGCGGACAAGTTTGAGATTGTGTTGGGCATAAAGGAGTTAGCTAGCGAGGGAATGGCAGCAGAGGTTATTGACGAAATAAATGCTCTCGATCCCAATTTTTTCACTGAAAATCCTACGCTGCTTTTCCAACTGAAGCAGGTTAGTGCCGGTGTCTGGTTGTTTCGTTTGGTGAGCTATTTTTGTCACTGTCACAGTAGAAAGAAAAAAAAATTAGTTTGGTTGTGATACTGGCTGCAGGTTGAATTTTTAAAGCTTGTCCGAGCCGGTGATAATTCTGGTGCAATCCAGGTTGCGTCATCTCATTTGGGCCCTTTGGCTGCTAAATACCCAGCTTTGCTTAAGCCCATGAAAGAGACATTGTTTGCTTTGCTCAAACCAACTGAAGAACCTTTTGGCAAACATAGTTCCTTTGATGTCCTTGCTACTTCACTCCAGGTTCTATTTTGTTTGGGTTTTACAACCACATGATATCACATTTCTCACGAGTCCAGTTGATAATATCTCAATCACTTGTTGACGTTAACATGTGATTCATTTATTATTTAATTTATTCTTGTTGGGCAGGTTGCTGTTGGTAGAAGGCTAGGTATAGAGGAACCCCAGCTGATGAAAATTATAAGGGCCACCCTCAACTCACACAGTGAATGGTTCAAGCTCCAAATGTGCAAAGACCAGTTTGAGAGTCTCGTGTGGATCCACTCCTTGAAAGAAATCGGTGGTCCTTTGCTAGGAGATGCTGCCGCCAAGTCATGTATCGACACTTCCACACAAGGATCTTCGCCGGCTACAGTATCGTCCAGCAACATGAGGATTCAGGAAGATGGCAGCAGTCCTAATCAGACCACGACAAGTGATATTGGATGTGAGGAAAGTGCCATCTTGAAAGTTATGGTTAGTTTTACCATTTATATATTATATATAATAATTATATCAAATCAAGTCAAGAAATCTGATTAGACACCTTTTCCTACTTTTATACTAGGTGGAAATGTTCTTCAATGCAGAATTTATTTTGCTTGCGGAGAACTGATTTTTTTTTTATTATTTTTTTTTTTGGGTTTAGGAATTTCTCGCTCTTCCTAGAGCTGACGCTATTCATCTACTTGCTCAGTACAATGGGAATGCAGAAACCTTGATCCAGCAGATATTTGCTTAGCTTGCTTAGCTTGTACACATTATATATCAGATATAGCAAAACACAGTCCCTATTGTTTTAATTGGACTATCTGTTTTGCTATTAGACATGGTTATATTTGCTTTTCAAGCAATTAGGTGAGTAGGGAAATACTCTCTATTCGGAGCTTGTGAATATGGACTTTGACACTCCCCGCAAACATAATACGAGTTTGTTTATTCTTTGAAGGTTTTGCTGAAATAAGGAAAAGTCCAGGTGACCACTTGTACAAGAGTTAATCCAACTTTATGTATCACCTGTCATTGAATGACTATGAATTTAAGCACAAAGATTTCATCACTTGTTGAGAGATGATTATGTATGCAAGCTTATCTAGATATGATGCGAACTGCTTAGTTTTACTGTGTTGATAATTGTTACTAAAAAGTTGAGGGGAGTTTGACCTTTTCCCTCGTTTAGAGTAGTTATCTATCATTCCCTCTTAATGAGTGATCCCTCTTAGAAGATAACTCCTTTTTTTTTTTTTCAAACGGCAAACAAATATATTGCTAGAAAACTCAAAAAGAGTACAGAGGCGATGTCAACTGACACCAAAGAACCAGATAACTGGACTTACCCTCTTGAACATCCGGAGGAATTCAAGAGGTACAACTCCAACAAGGAGGCAACCGCAACCCAAAACGAAATTCCACAAAGGGAAACTAAACTCCATAAAGGAGATAAACCAGACAAACTGGACTAACACACAAAAACATAAACAAAAAACACACACCTAATGTACAAATAAACTAGAACCTCCCCTACACTAATCAACTCGATGCTTAACCACCAGGGACCGCACACGATCCACATCCACAAGCAAAGAGATCCAACAAAACCACAAATCGGAACCTCAAGCCCGAAAACTGCGGCTACTCGTGCCGCCTAGACGGATCTGAAGAAGAGACTGCTATCGGTTCAGATCTGGACTCCGAAAAACCATCCACGCTTGGAGAGGAGAAGAAGCCGCCGTGAGAACACCAACTCGTCCTCGCCGGAGTGCTCGAAAGAGGGATCGAACGGTCGGCACGCCGCACCAAAGGACCCAAAACATGAATAACAAAACTCTCGGCGAAACAATGGTCGGAACCTCCTCGAGGCTTGGGCCTGAAATCTTGCTGCCAGCGGTCTCGTCCATGGCCGGGGATGGCTAGGTGGAGAAGCAACTCGGACCCAGCGGGGGCAAGAGCTGTCCAACCCAATCTCCCACAAAGCCCGGAGGGGACGGAAATGTCCTCAGCCCCGAAACAACGAGCTTCTATTCCAGCGGTGCGGTGGCGAGCTTGTAAGTGTAGGAGGGGCGGCGAAAATTGGACAAGACGACTGGTTTTTTTTTTGATTGAGGGGAGAAGAAGAGGGGCGCGTCCCCTGACGCGTGAGTTAGAAGATAACTCCTTCACGTAGTGAATAAAATCATATTCTACAAGTGGGATATTGCTTAAATTTTCACTTGATGTTTTGGACCCTTCTGCTTAGCTCCTTTTGCAGCCATCAATCAACTCCAGAATTCAAGTTGACCCACGACAGAAGAATAAAGCCGGTTAGATTATAGTCATGGATCGACTAACAAATACAGTTAGCAACAATTTTAAACATAACAAACGCACCATTGACGAATCAACAGGATAAATTACATAATCCAAAAAATGAAAACAAGAAAAATAAAATAATGATAGGAGAGTTGAAGGGGATGCTATATTTGCAAAGAAAAGCAAAAATTATTCACCTTCAACTGTGTATTAGAAAGTACGAATCGTTTAAGGACACCTGTAATATAAGTTATTCCTTTAATTCAAGTTTGTGAATATAACATCTGTTTAGGCACCCCTCTTCTCATTCAAGTTGCCACAGGCTCACGAACCATGCCAAGCATCTCAATTTTAATTTTATAAATAACTCGTCCAGGTTGGGACCTGCTCTCTGTACAATTACCGGGATCTCTTATGCTTCATCTTGAAAACCAATTCGTTTTCCCTTCGTTTTACGAGGTAAGAGGGGGACAATGGCTTTTATACTGGCACACAATGAGCCCGTCTGTCATATGATGCACAACTCCAAGAGTATTTACACACACAAGCCACTTCACAATAACTTCACTAGCATCCCTGCAAAATATTAAAATTAATTAGATTTCACTGTAGGACCATGCTTTGCAAGGGAACTCTAATATCAGCTATTTCCAACGCCACACAGACAAGTTCGCAATGGATGCACTTCTTGAGGGGAAAAAATGTTTTTTTTTAGGAAAAAAAAAAAAAATGTTAATTAAGGGTATTAGTAATTTGAGAAGATAACTGGCCACTTTGGAAAATATATGCTGAATCTCGAGAATAGTGCCGATCCTGAAAAATAAATTAATTCCAATAAATTCCCAACCTTCTGCTGACTGTTAAAATTTGATCCTAACCTTTTAACTTTTTGCAAATTGATTCCCAGTAAAAATTTCTTGCAATATTTCATATCATAGGGTTGTCCTGTTAAATTTTAACGACACAAATAGAACAAGTTAAAACCGACTGTTTTAAGCTGTCCAGCATCGCATTCCGGTAGACAATATAACCAGAATCTCAACAGAGGGACCTATTAATATAAAAGAATGAGACTGACATGCAAAAGTTGAAGATTGGGATTAAATTGCAAGCGCAAAAGGTTAGGTAATTTTTTGGCAATAACCCACTTTCAGAACCACCACAGTAACAGAATGTCTAATCTGCTCCAAAAAAATGCATCAATCAAAAGAAAAGTAAATATAAAGCATCGCTAGGCAAAGCTTGTGGAATTAATTTAAACCATAAAATTTCAGGGGCTGCAAATAGCAGCATTACCTTTAGCAATTCTTCCATCACCTGCCCTGCACCACCTTGTAGTTAAGCACAAGGTCATCAGGTTTCTTCCATATGTATGCTCGTACAGTGGCCAAGCTCATGTCCGGAGGTAAGACCTGCAGAATGCAAGAGTATTAGAAAGCACATAAACTCCCGGGTCCTGTTAATACTGGAGAGATAGGGGAAGAGAGCTCAATTATTTTCAGACAAATCTCTTTAATTGAATGATGCTTTTCTTTTGTCTTCATTCTTAAAAAAAAAAAAAAAAANTTTAAAAAAAAAAAAAAAACAAACAGAGAGGCAAAATTGTAGCCGAGTGCTTTCCATGTTCAGAGCCAGCCAATTCTGAAGCCCATTCATTAGTTCACACTTGCCTGGTTATTGCACATGATCTCAATAGAAGGCTTGAGTTTTTGCCAAGGTTTCAGCCCTGAACGGAAGGAACTATCTCCAACAGATGGAATTGAGATATGAGCACTAGGCAACCCGGGAGCAAAAGATCCATCACCATTTACGGCATCCATTGGCTTATCAAGAACCATCTTTTCTATGACATAATTGACAACCTACAAAACAGATTGTTTCAACATTAGGGGCTCACACATATTAATCATAGAAAAACCAACTACTAGTAGGGTATATTGTGCACCGAGGAAGTTTCTCCAACTCAAAGAAAATCCTTCAACTAGTGAAGAATACTTTCAAATTGCTTGTTTTCTCCATTAAAACCACTCGACTGTCACTTGAGCAGATATTACTAGTATCCGAAACTAACATCATTGGACAATGTAGAATAAAGACTCAAAATCCAACTGTTAAAACCAATTAGAAACAAGTTGACCAGATATTGAATTAAGTACTTCAGTTACCGACAAATAATCGCCAAGTAAAATAACAGAGAATTCGGTACTTGGTTTCAGACAATAATGGACAGGTACAAACATCACACGCAAACCACCACATACATCGAACACTTGAGTCGGTTCACTTAAACCAATTAAACCAGTATGCATGATCTAAAGGCTAAAATTGATCTGTGTTTTTCTTTCACCGCTCGTGCAAAAATGAAGAAAGTTTTCCACCATAATTAGATTAAGTCGTCCTTAAACTAGGCAGAGGAGATTCTCACTTTATGTATTCTCAAAATGCGAGGTGCACTAAGTTTGCCCTGAGTAAGGATCTGCACAGTAGAACCTTCACATGGTTGCAAATAGAAGCTACATCTGCAATAAACAAAAGTTAGATGTAATTGGCAGATCACAAATGTATCATCCAGAAAATAGGAAGGGAGGAGAGGATGACAGCAAGATGATCGGAGGGTGGTCAATAAAAACAATTTAGAGATTGGAAAAAAGTATCACAAACAAAAAGTTCCAACTTCTATGTAACAAATAGAACTCATTAGAGAGAGTTGAGACAGATATACAAGCAGCAAACCAAAGCGGAGCATCATCGCCAAACACTAATAAATGTTAACAAATTCACCAAAACTAATGTAAAATCACTGTGCTCCAAAAAATGGATTAAGTAAACAATGAAGGCATCTAAATCAAATGGTAAGAAGGTATGCTAAGTGCTTCAGTTTTTAGAAGATCAATGCGCATGTGTGTCAAAGAAATACATAACCAAATAATTGTGTAAAAATTCAGGAAAATTCACAAAGAAACCAACTGTAATAAGGATTGATAAGGAAATTACTTGCTATTCTCCCTTGGAGGCAGGCGATTGTTCAACACACAATCAAGAACCCACCAAGGGAAGTCTTTCTCATCTTCGGATCCATCCAGGTCAGTAATTTTCTTTCTCCAAGGGCCTCCTTGAGTGCCTTCGGTAACAATAGAAGGAGGAGCAGCTGAAGAAAACTCAAAAGGCGGATACACCGTGGAATCATTTTCAATGAAACCATCTCCGCCTTCAACTCTAGATAGTGTTACCGTCCTTGTAGGCAAAACATTTCCTGAAGGAATGTCTCCATTTGCAGAAGTTTGAGATCCAAACCTCTGCTTTCGTCGAGTTGACCAGTGTTGCAACAGTCCTTTGAGGGTTTCTCTTGCCAAATTGATCTACATTTTCATAATTCATCATATACACCGACTTCACAATAATCGGGACACACACAAATTAAAAGGATAAGAGAAAGTCAGAAAACCTTTTGAATATAAATCATCACAGATGAAACAATCAGAACCCAGTCCTAACTAGCAGAACTATAAGTACCCAGCCAGTAAATTTAAGACTACAAAAACAATTACAAATGCAGATTATGGCAATGCCCAATGTGTGCATCTTCACTAAAAATTATGAACCAGAAACCAGTAATAGACGAGTCACCGCATAGCAAAGATGCACTTATTAAATACTTAAAGAGAATTCTCATGTAATTACCTTGTCATCCTCAGGCTTTCCGGCAATGCTGAGATCAATAGAGTACATCTCGGCGGAAAAGCATTGTGGGGTATCTAAGTGTACAGACAAACTCCCAAGCCTTGTATCTACAGTGAACCATGCAGGAACACTTACCTGTAGAGACAAACATGTCAAACGAGTGGAGAGAACAATTTGCGATGTAGCAAGTAAAAATAAAGATGCATACCATCTCAAACAATTCTTCTTTCTTCTTCTCAAATGAAACCTATTAACATGAAGTACAGAAAGGTCAGAAACCATAGGAAGCAAACCGGAAAGGGGGCCAATGGATAGGCCGAATCACAAGCGGGCAACCTCTTATGGTCCTCTCAGAGACGAATCACCTTGAAAAAAAATTATTTTCCAAAACAAAATACTAACCTCTCCATAATTATCAACAACCACACCTCTAGTAATTTCCCACAATTTCACCATGCCAGCAGTATCCTTGAAAAGTAAGGTATGGTAATCAGTTTTTAACACAAAAAACACAAAAAGTATAAAAGAAAAATAACTATACAGAATATCAAAGAATGAAAGTTATAAAGGGCTAACAGATACATAAAGTTACCTTTGTCAGGACATGTCTTCTATTGTTTAAAATCTCATGCTGCACTATTGCCGAAATTCCAGGAATGCTAAATGATGGTTCTCTATAAACAGGAACCTTAAAAAAAGATTGTGACTTTATCAGCTTTAGCAAATTATATAACCAATATAAAAAGGCCTGATGGAGGATTCAAGGGGTTAACATGAAACATCAATTCAGAGAGCATAACAATTTATTTGGTACTATAGTTGAAAAAACATTCTATTGCCAGTTCGAGGTAAGTCATGGGTAGCAATAAGACAGAATAACTAGACATAATTAAAATGCAAAAAGTATGTTGAAGGGAAAAAGAAAGAAAGAGAGAGTGCTCTGAAGTCAATAAGGTACAGATTTTTTGGCAATGCTATGATTTGCTTTCCGATCGATAGAAGACTTCCAATTTACATGAAGTGCAGCCTAAGAATGAATAACGGGTCTACATTAAGCAACTCTTGTTTGGGTCCAGATTTATTCAGTCGAAAAGGGGAGATGACAATCTCAAAGAAGTAAACGTATCCAACTCAGTGTTTGGAAGACCAAAATTTTAACTGTGCACTAAAGCAACAGAAGAAAGGAAATTACTCACAGGAGTGGAACCCTCAAGTGAAGCCCTGGCTCTCGAAAATGACAGATTTCCAGCCACAAATGAACCACCTCGTTGAAATACTTTCATTGGATTATGTGCTTCAGCTGGCCAACTATGTACAGAAGAATCGGTAGTGGCAACCCATATACTATCATCGTGCAATGCCAATTGCAAGATAGGATGATCTTCGTTACAGAGCAGCACACTTTCTCTAGTTGCCAGATCTGTCAAATACAACTAAAAGTAACAAAAGAAGTTAGAACAAATAGGCGGAATATTAGATGAATACAGAGAGCAAAGCTTTTGAAACTGCACTCACGGAAAGATCTCTTCCACCACTATAAACATGACTAAACGATGGAGAGCTGGCAAGCGCCCAGACAGAATCTGTGTGCACAGCATAGGAGTGCACACACCGCTGTTGGCCAAGATCCCACAACCTGTGAAGCCAAGAATCGATGGAATTCTCTCAATGAAATTGAAAGACTAGTTATGACGTACTATTATGATGAACTGAAAGAAATTCAGAATCCATGCTTCTATAAAGATACACTCACAAGTAAACCATTTACATCCCTGAAACCAAAATCTCATGGTTTGAAAAAGCCAAGAACATTTAGAAAACAATATCTTCAAATGACAAAGCAAGTAAATGGCACTTGAACAAGACCACAACGGATTCAGGTTTGGGTCTGGTGAACATTTTCAGCTCACACATACTACATCAAGTCGCTAAATTTAAGAAATTCTATACCCAGAAAAATTGATGTAGATTGACGTAAAATAAATAAATATATAAAATAAAATAGTTCTGACTTCTTGGTTTTGTTGCTCTACATGGTTTAAACTAGACACATCATTGTGGCTTCTTGTGGTTATTGGTGATCATAAAAACTGCATACCTGATCATAGAATCAGAAGACCCAGATAAGCAATACCTGCAAATCATCAGAAACACCTATATAAACTTTGNGAAACTGTGGAGTGCATTATGATAACATTAATTGACATGGTCGAGCAAGATATGCACAGAAAGGAAAGCAGATTGTACAAACATATTCTCCCCACTACCACAAACCTGCCAGTAGAATCCAACAGTAGCGCCCTAATATTATCTGTGTGCCCTCTAAGCTTCATGGTTTTCGAACCAGTTCTTGGGTCCCAAACTCGCACAACCTATGATTAAATTAATCACACAAAACTGGAGAAGTTCAATTATATTAGGTAAACAGGCATAAGGACAGCAGTGGGAAACATAGCACACACATTTACATACATACATATAGATTGTAACTTTTAGCACCATATAAGCAATCCAATATTCAAACAACCCAGACCTACCCTCTCAGTTCCACCAGAAACAAGAAGTGTTCCCCGATCATTGGTGGCTAATGCATACACTGACTCTTTATGTCCTTTTGCAGTAATGGGAACGTATCCTTGAGATTGAGTAGAATGCACAGAGATGTTATTGCTTGAGCCGGTAGGCCGAAGACTTGTGTTCGATAATGAAGTGCCCAAGCCATTGACCGCTGTGGAGCAGTCATCTTCTGCTACATCATTTGATTTGGAGATGGGAGCAAGTGCAGCTTCAAGATCCCATATAAAGACCTCTCCACCGAGGCCAGCTGAGGCTACAAAATTGCTCTGTAATATATCAAACATATCAACACTGATATGAGGTAATAGATTAGGTCTCCATATGCTTATCGGGCAGCATAAGAGCTATATTCATAAATTTAGACAAGGGAGATTACTTTTTTCTCCACAGCAGCAAGGCAGGTGACATAGTCCGAATGCTGACGTAATGTCCTCACACATTTTCCATCAGACACACAATTCCACACCTAATATTGCCACGAAAAGGAAAAATAAAAATATCATACACGGAGTTAAAACACATCCTAACCATTAAGGCGAGGTTTGCAAACCTTAACAGTGGCATCCGATGAACAAGATACTAATGTGTTACCACCTGCAAGGACAGCATCGTTCACCTGCCCAGCCAACAGGTTCAGACATAAATTTCCAAGAATATACATAAAAGAGCAGATATAAAATCAATACTATCTAAGCTTCAAGAAAATTAAAAGTTCAAAGCTAGCAAAGCATTCTGTGCATCTTAGAACATCTTCTCTCACTCTAGCTTGTTATAAGATTAAACCATCTAATACTGGTACATCATTCTCCCTATATAGTAAGTGGGAATACATATGCCCTTAAAACAGTTCCATAACTTTTTGGAGGTTACAGCTCAACCATCACTTAGACCAGATAATGCATAAACTTATCTACTCACAGCAAGCAATTCATATGATAGTGGAATGCTAAAAGGTAAAGTTGACCCTGCTTATCCAAGGTTAAGTAATAAATTAAGTTCACTGCCACCTACATTACAGTATAGCAGTGATACCATTAACAACAGCTGGTGTGGTTCAAGTGTTTTAATAGGATGTCATTAGGCAATATAAGTCTTCAACATAAATTTTTAACGCCAAGATATGTAAAAATACTTAATCAGAGATGGAGCAACCTACCCAATCAACATGGGACTCAAATGTAGCAGAGCAAGTCGCACCATCTTCGGCCAATAACCATCTCTTTAGGGTACTATCACGACTACCAGTAAAGAGGGTATCACACTCATCTGGTCCCGGTGACTTCAATACAGCCAAACAGTTTATACCAGCACAGTGCTGCAAATGATAAAATAATAGAACAGATAGAAATAAGTGTTAATAAGAAACCCAGACATATCATGCTTTATATTTTTACATAACAATATATAGGGGAGTGGTGATAGTTCACAAAAATCATTTTGTAATCTAACTTCACACTCAAGGTCTAAGAGCCAGAAGTATTCTTCAATTGGAAAGTTATGAAACAGTGACACAACAAGCATGACGTTAAATTGGATAAAACCCCAAATTGTCTTAAAAGCCAAGAAACTTAACATGAGAGGAGAAATACTCCATAATAGTGCATCCAAAAAGGATGATGAAAGCTGGAAATAGAGCATATTATGATGGAAGTTTCAGTATTTGGAGTTTTTTGTGTGTGTGGGAGAGAGAGAATGATAGGCACTACCTTAGTATCATCTGCATCATTTAGAACATATGTCAGCCTCTTTTCCTTGCGCGTACGCACTGAATTACTTCCATTTCCTGCACTTGCAACCCGATGCATTGCAAGATCCCTGAAACATATGGAAAAAAGAGACTAATGGCTCCCTCAAACCAAAAGAAGGAATAGTCATAATGTGGATCACATATTTCAAGCATTCATTGTCTTTTTCTAGTCACGCTACCGTAAATCCATTAAGGTATAACTTTGAGCTAGATAATAACGCACAAATCTATCAATTTAATCCTATATCTTTAGTAGGAAGACAAACTAGGTACATTTTTATATTCTCAAGTTGCAAGGCATATTGTTCTCTGCTGAAGTCCATACTGAATAGCCAACATATAGCCCGGGTTATGCACAGTGAAATGATAGCGTTATATACCCTTGAGCTAATACCAACCTCCACTAGGTGATAGTTTTCAGAGGCTAGTATTGTCTTTGCTAATGATAATGTATTTTGACATCAATAAATCCATCAAGTAACATTTATCCCACAGTTCACCTGATGACCGTTTCACAAGGAAATTCTGATATTCATATTCTTCAACACAACTCCATTTTGAGGAGAAAAAAAAACAATCAATTGCAATGCAATAAATACATTTAAGCATCAATATGTTCCATATTGATTATCACACAGTAAGGAGACACAAAAAAATCTCCATACTTTCCTACATAACATAAGATACAAGTAACCTACAGTTGAAAGGGCTAAACCACGAGGGCTAGAAAGCTCAGAATAAGAATGGCGCACAAGATGCTCATTAAACTACAAGAAATAACCATAAAGTTTGATTTTTGAATTCAAATACAAAATAAATCAGGAAAGTCGAATCTGAAACAAAATTAGAATCACTCGAAGTCCACAATCATAAAAATCGCCAAGCAACAAGCAAAACGGTAAGCGTGCTCTTTCTATCACAAATTATACTCGCACCACTAAAAGAGAATTAAGAGCANGCACACAGCGATCGCAATTGAACTCAGCAGTACCAATATGAAAATAAAGTCTACTAGAAATCAAAGGCCAAATAAAGGAAAATTAGAATAAATAATAGATTGAAGAATTACCTACTCTAGCAGCTCCAAAAGTGAGATTCAGATGAAAAGTAATACGTCTGTGGAAGTAAGATTTCCGAACGACGGCGGATAATCGAGCGGAGTCACGACGGCCAGGGCAAACAACGGCGGAGAAGCGGTCGAGAGAGGAATCGGAGGGGATAGGGCCGAGAATGGAGGACTACTTGGTCTCAGTAGTTTTATTTCTTTTCGTTTTTAAGTTTTTTGTTTATTATTATTAATATTTTTTTGGGCAAAATATGTAGACGAGATTTGGAAATGACTGCTGGATGAATAATTCCAGTCAACAGTTTCGGTATTATTGATAAAATCTTTTGAAATTATCCTATGAGATTTTATAATTATAATTAAAAAAAAAAAGAGACGAAGTTTATGAATATGTGCCGGAATGGATATTGATCAATAGTTTACTGTTTTTAGACGACATTTTTACACAATGCATGCACTAGTCAATTTTTGTTCACCTTGTTAATATTCTTTCACGAGGAAAAATAATATTATATAATTATATTATTACATGTTATAATTTTTTTTATATAATTTTATATAGTTTGATATTTCAATGTAAAAGTGTGTCTATGTATTGAGAATGCAAAGTTTTCAACTCAATCTTTACTAGTATAACACCCGTGTATTATATGGGTGCTTGTTAAAAATTATTCTTAAATTTTAAAATTAATGAGAAATAGTATTTTAAATTTTATTAATTTTTTTTACAAAAAATATATATTATTATATATTTTATAATGACACTTGTTACTTATGCAACTGACATGTGTTATATTATAGTAATTTTTATAACTTATATCATATAACTACTTGAAATATCAAAATATATTAATTGATAAATAATTTTATTTTACTAATTAATATTAAAAACTAATTTCATATTGTTATAAAAATAAATATAATTTATTTTTCTCAATACATACAATATGGATTTTAAATCGAAGCTCATCAAGAAATGATTAATTTGATATATTATATATGTAAAACTGATAAAAAATACAAAAGTTATTAACTTTTAAAATTAATTTACCATTCAATGGTTATAATAAGAAATGATATTAAAATGCAATTAATACATGTAACATAACCATAAATAATCAACATATTTATGAATAATCCAAATCTAATTATTTTTGGATTGAGAGTAAATTAAAATCTACCCAAGTCTAATAACAAATCATGTAATTTTAGCATATAGGAACCCGAAGCATATGAGCCTGCGACTTAGGCTCAGCACGATTCGAATTAATATATAGGGAGGTATATTTGAACAGTAATGCATATTTATATTATTAAATATTTTATATATTTTGAACAAGAATGCATACTTATATTATAAAATATCATACTTTCATTTATATTTATAGAGGTGACATTTATGTGCAAAAATATTCGTATGTATTAAAATATGTGAAAGTCTAATCATTAAACATATTGCATATATATGTTTGATAAATAAATTTATATATAATAACACAAAATAATTATTTAGTAATTTTAATTAAAAAATAATAAAATAGTACAATTTTAAAACTTATAAATTTAAAACAACTTCTTTTTACAAAAATAAGTATAAATTATTTAATTAAGATCATGTAGTATACGGATATTGTATTTACCAAGTATCGAATCAATGTAGGGTGAAGTGAGTGAATAGATAAAAAAAAAAATTGATATTATAAATTTAAAATAAAAAAATAAATAATTAAGATGAAAAGTTGGACAAACATATAATTGGGAGGAAGAGCACTTCAACCTTTGAGAATCTTTTTATATATAAATCCAGAAATTTCCCCCAAAATATGTTGAGCCTAAGTAGTGCTTTGGAATCATATGTGACAAATTTTCATGCTTTGCCATTTGGCTTGAATAAATTTTAATTTACTCTCAATCATATATCAAATTAATCATGTCTTGATGAGCTTCAATTTGACACTAATATTGTACATACAAAATAAATAATTATATTTATTTTTATAATAAAAATTAAATTACCTATTAGTATTAATTAAAAATATAAAATTATTTAAATCAATTTAACTACAAAGTTATTAAATGATATGATTTAAAAAATATTTTAATATAAGATGGTAAGCCGTATAAGTGATGAGCATTATTTTAAATATAAATAGTAATATAGTTATTCAAATAAGTATTTGAAAATTAAAATAATTTTATTATTATTATTGTTAATTTTAAATATAAATTTATTAACCAACACATGTGTAATACAAGAGTATTGTACTAGTTGTGTCATAAATTATAATAAATTGGATTTATTTTATTATTTTATATCACTTCTCAAACTATTGCAACAAATAATAATCAAACACATAATTTAAATTGTTATTTGAATATTGTGGCTAAATATAAAAATACTATTGAAATATATAGAATCTTCTATTAATTATGCCACCAATGGATAGGGTGAAAAAAACCGAGTCGAAACCAAAAAATTGAGTCGAAACAATGTATCCAGTGAAGTGCGATTCAACTATAAAATAATGCGTTGTGCGGTACGGTTAAGATTTTGAAAAACCGCAAAAAAAAGGTGCGATTCAATTTTAAGTTCAAATGGTGCAATTCTAACCAAACCGCACGAATAGCTTAATGTAAATTTCTATTATAGGCCGGCCCTCTTCAATCTCTCTTTCTCCTCCTCTTATTCTTCATTTTTTCAAGTTTTGCTTGCTCCTTATAACTTATTTCTTCTTTTTTTCTTTTTTTTTTTTCTGGGATTTTCAAGAAATACAGCTTTTCCGATTTGTGAAGTAAATTTCTATTTATTATTTTGTATATTTTGGGTTGGAGTGATTGTATGGTACCGTAAAGATCCATCTTTTTTAGTAGAGGGCCTTTGAAGATCCATCTTTTTTAGTAGAGGACCTTTGATTTCTGTAGATTATTGTTTTGATTTTAGGAATTATTAATTTTGTTTCGTTTTGCCAAAGCTACCTTGTTGTGCCTTTCTTTCTGGTTATTTGCGGTAGTCGAACCAAAACCACACGAAGTTGAAACTTTCGGTGCGGTTTCGGTTTCGTTTTTTCTCCATAATGGTTTGGTTCAGTTTGGACTGTTGAACCAATACCGCATCGAAATCAAAATTTTTGATGCGGTTTTAACATCGAAACCCCTACCAATGCTTACTAGTACGAATCCCGTGCTATGCACGGTAGGAGATATTATTAGGGAGATACCATATAGTAACACCTTTCTAGTTCTTATATAAATAGTAACACCTTTCTAGTTCTTATATAAATAATTAAATATTTGTTTATTTTGGTTCCATTTTCTTTAACTAATACGAATCATGTGCTATGCAGGGGTAGGAGATATTAATATATATAAATTAAAAATACACCTTAAATAATATTTATAACTTAAAAATATGGAATCAATTGTTATACAATTCACCTATATTAAATTTATTGAAAATGTTATATGAAATTTAAATTGTGCATAATTATAAAAAACATGTCTATTTAAAATTAGTACACAACCCGTACGGTGAACGTAACTGATAATAAATTACAATATAATTTCAAAATAAGTGTCATTTTAAAATTTTCATTCAGAAATTCAATTTAAGTACAATGTAATTCCATACAATAATAATTTTGATAAAATGTTATGAATATTTAAAAATTTATGTGAATAATAAGTACAGTTATAAAACTATATTATTTCATTAACTAAATTGAATTTATTTTTGTATAAACTATCTAAATGAAAAAATTAAGTAGTTGAGTAATTTATTAAACTATAAATAATTGATTATTCTATTTACGTCCAAGTTAATACTAACCCGTAAATTACTAAGAATAACTTATTTGACTTTTAAAATTGGAAACCAAATTTAGACTACACAATAAATTCTTTATACATATTATCTCTCAATTTTTTAAATTTTTTTTGGGTTACCTTATTGTTCAAATTTATCAACTAATTCTCTAAAATTAAATTACAAATTTTAAATTTTATTAACTAATATTTGTTCAAAAATCTTTCTGATATTCAAAAGGAATACAAATCAATTTGAAAAATTATCATCAAAATCGTGTTGGTTGATCAAATTTTTAAGGGAAATGATGTACATATTGTATTATTTAAACCGTAAAGTTGTGAATTATTTGTAGAATAAATCAATTTGTAGTATATGAAATCTTCAATTTTTGGAATAAATCAATTCGTAGCTTTTGAGCCTACATTATATGGAATCCTCAATTTTTGAATTGTTATATTCTAAATAGTTTTATATTGAATAGCCACTATTGTGTGATTTTATGCATCATAACTGACTCATGAACCGACCTATCAAACGTGTTGGGGTGAATCAATGAAAATATTATTTAACAAAATCAGTTAGTACTAATCACATTAATCGTAGTAGTTGGAATCCTCAATTTTAAAAAATATTTGAAGTGATATGTTTTTATCATGTTTAGGAAACTGGTACATTCTTTAATTAAAAAAAAAAATTCAATTTTAAACAGAAGACCAATATAATCGGTGAAAAAAAAGGAAGTCAAATATATTGCTAAAATAAAAATATGTTTTCCAAATGAAAAGAAACTTGAATTTATCCCATATGGAAGGAATCTCATCCAAAACATATTGAACTCATCCAAAACATATTGAATTTCGAAATGAAAAAAATTCAAACTTTCAAAAAACTTTTAAACAAAATATTAGAGGGAAAAAAGTGATTTGAGCGGTAAAATGAAATAATTTTTCAAATATTTTTTCTTCTCCATATTATCTAGTAATAGATGACATTGACAAATCTATATATATATAATTATTAGCTAATAGAATTTAATAAAACCTATTTAATTTTACCTATGTGGCAATTTAACAATTTTTTCTCCAAAAACCGTTACATTTTGATGTATTTAATCTTTCATTTAATCATTAAATAATTAATACTCATCACTTCAAAATTACAAAAATTATTTTAAACTTTTGATTAATGACAGTTGACCATATAATGTGTTGACCGTATAATGTGATTAGATGTTATTATTGTTGTTATATTTAATTTTTTTTTTAAAATAAAAAATATATTTGAAATTCCTAAATAAATAATAAATAATTCACAAATAAAAAAGACATACCAAAATATACATTACATCCAATCAGATAAACGCAATTTAAAAAAAAAATAT